TCCGCGAATTGTGCGTCGAGAAAGAAGGAAAAAATTGATCTTAAGAAAACTTTCGCCGTGCCTGTAATGATTGCTCTCTTTATCTATAGCCTCGACATCTTTTAAGTTCGTTTCGCTGAGATAATCATCAAGGTTAATTAAAATGAAAAACTAATTAGTCTGTAATTACCTTATCATTAGAGTGATTAACTTGATACGTATTATATCAAGCTTTTAAGAAAATTCAGGAATTTTTGCAGGTTTGATCTTCTTGGAAGTTTACGTAACGGTTTTTCTAATGTAGGCCACACAATTTTGTAGTTTCTATCTTAATAGTTACAATTTCTTAGTTTTTTTATCCCCTCTTGAAATTTGATGACATCATCTGACAAAAAAGTTAATAAATAAATTTGTGAATATTATAATATCGCCTGAGATATAATGTTGTCTATTTTTACTTACCGAGTGTAAGTATTGTAACAGGGACCTCCTGGCGACTGGATACTATCATGTTCTATCATCCAGTTATACAAAAAATTAACTTTTGCTAAATGATATTTTATTTAGTTACAGTTGGTCCGTATCCTTGAAGATGAGGGGATTTGCTTGAAACAATAGCAGAAGTAGAAGCCAAAAAGGATTTTTTCGTAAAGAAGTTAAGTGCCGAGTGTGTGGTGGTAAGTCCCGAGTGCGCGACTAAAACACGTAGTGAAAAGTAGTGCTGCTAGGACTTTGATCCTGAGGTGCGTGAAGAAATGGTGGTTCAACTCCAACCGGAAAGACGATAAGGCATTTGGGCTGGATTTAAAGGGTAAATATATTTTATAGAATTGATCTTATCTCTAGTTTTTTAAGTGAAATTTTCTACTAGCAAAACTACTGTTACAATGAATTAAACAAAATTCTAACTTTTGCTAAATGACATTTTCCTTTTTTACAGTTGGTCCGTATCATTGAAGATAGGGGATTCGCTTGAAATAATAGCAGAAGTAGAAGCCAAAAAGGTAGGATTTTTTTCTTAATGAAATGTAATTTTTGGGGATGTTCGAGTGCGGTGCTAAGTCCCGAGTGCGCTTGTATAACTCGTAGTGAAAAGTAGTATTGCTGGAACTTTGATTTTGAGGTGCGTCAAGGAATGGTAGTTCAATTCCAGCTAGACAGACGATACAGCTTTTGGGCTCGAACTAAAAGGTAAATATATTTTGTAAAATTGAGTTTATCTTTAGTTTAATTAAATTATTCATTAAACAAATTTTAAATTAAAAATTTATTATAACATTGAATTAAACGAAAAATTGATTTTGCTAAATGATATTTTTCTTTTTTTGCAGTAGGTCCGTCTCTTTGAAGATGAGGGGATTCACTTGAAGTAATAGCAGAAGTTGAAGCCAAAAACTTGGGATTTTTCTTTTCTAATGAAATGTCATTTTTTCGGGATGTTAATTTTCAAAAATGAAATTTTTCCTATACACCTCATTTCTTCAAATTTCGGCCCATTTTCGACCAATTTCGAAACTTCACCAAATGCATTTTCTTGGGGCTATCTGTCTTTGGAATTCATTTCCCCTCACATTTCATCGAAAATTGCAACCGTTTCTCCAGAATTGCCCATGGAATACGGAATTTTTAGAAATTTCAAAATAAATCCCATTTCACACAGAATAAGTCAAACATTCTCTTCCATCACCATAAAAACGCTCTGTTTTTGGAATGAGGACGTCGAGATGCACATTCCTGAATTTTTTTAGAAGTTTCATACAAATTTTCCAAAAATAAGTGTCTTCGGTTTCGGCCCATGTTCGACGATTTTCGAAACTTTATTAAATTGATTTTCTTGGAGGTGTCGAGCCGTAGAATTCACTTCTAGCCTCATTTCTACTAAAACTATAAATCTAACCGTTTTTTCAGAATTCTCCATCGAAATAAGACAATTTTTAGAAATGTCAAAGAAAATCCAATTTCACACAGATTGATTGAAAAATTCTTTTACGTCACCATAAAAACGCTCAATTCTTGAAATCAGCACGTCGAGATCTACATTCTTGAATTGTTTCAGAATTTTCAGACAAATTTTTCGAAAATGAAATTTTCCCAATACTTCTTCCAGTCGTCAAATTTCGTCCCATTTTCGACCATTTTCGGAACTTCATTAAACAAATTTTCTTGGAGATGTCGAGCCGTAGAATTTACTTCCGGTCTCATTTCTTCGATAATTGAAAATATTTTTCCCGAATTCCACATCGAAATGAGACAATTTTTAGAAATTTAAAAAAAAATCCAGTTTCACTCAGAATAGTTTAAAAATTCTCTTCCGTCACCGTAAAAACGATTTATTTTGAAATCAGCACGTCGAGATATTCATTCCTGAATTGTTTTTAATTTTCTTACAAATTTTTAAAAAATAAAATTTTTCCCAAACTTCTACAAATTTCAGCCCATTTTCGACCAATTTCGAGACTTCACCAAATACAATTTCTTCGGGGTGTTAGTTTGCAGAATTTATTTCCGCCTCCAATTCTTCGATAACTGCAACCGTTTTTCCAGAACTGCCCATCGAAATAAGACAATTTTTAGAAATTCACACAGAATTATTCAAAAATTCTCTTCCGCCACAATCAAAACACCATATTTTTGGATTCAGTATGTCGAGATTTCCTTTCCTGAATTTTTTGAGAATTTATAGACAAATTTTTCAAAAACGAAATTTTTCCAATACTCCTCCCTTCTTCAAATTTCGGCCCATTTTCGATCCTTTTCGAACCTTCACCAAATACATTTTCTTGGGGATGTGAGGTCGGAGAATTCAGTTCCGCACCGATTTCTTCGATAACAACAACCGTTTTTCCAGAGCTGCCTATCGAAATACGATATTTGTTTGAAATTTAAGAAAAATCTAATTTCACACAGAACAAATAAAAAATTCTCTTCCCTCACCATAAAAACGAAATATTTTTGGAATCAGCACAATAAGATCTACTTTTCTCAATTCTTTTAGAATTTTCAGACAAATTTTTCAAAAATGAAATTTTTCCAATACTCGCTTCTTCTTCATATTTCGGCCCGTTTTCGACCATTTTCGAAACTTCACCAAATACATTTTCTTATGGGTATCGAGCCGTAGAATTCACTTCCGGCCTCATTTCGTCGATAAATTCAACCGTTTTACCAGGATTGGCCATCAAATTACACAACAATTTTTAGAAAATAAAAAAAATTAAATTCACACAAGATAATTAAAAAAAATTCTCTTCCGTCACCATAAAAACGCTCAATTTTTGGAATTAACACGTCGAGATCTTCATTCCCGAATAGATTTAGAATTTTCAGATAAATTTTTCAAAAATGAAATTTTCCCAATAATTAATTCTACCTTTCTTCAAATTTCGCCCCATTTCCGACCATTTTAGAAACTTCATTAAACAAATTTTCTTGGGGATGTCGAGCCGTAGAATTTACTTTCTTCGATAACTGCAACCGTTTTTCCAGAATTGCCCATCGAGTTAAAGCAATTTTTAGAAATTTCAAATAATTCCAATTTAACACACTACGTCAAGATCATCGTTCCTGAATTTAAAAAAAATTTTTTTTTTATTATTATTATTATTATTATACAAATCGATCGGGCAGAGGCCGAAGCCTGTTATGCCCGCGCAGTTCAGAGTGATAAATACAGGTTACATACAGGTTAAATACACATCTAAGTACTAGCGACATCTAGAGTATCATATCTAATTTTAAAACTAATGACGGAAGGACTGCTCACTATTTCGTCACGTAAAGAGTTCCAGTGATGAAAGATTCTGTTGGATATAAAGAACTGTCGGATTGTAGTTCTAAAAACCTCTCGAAGCAATTTAAAACGGTGCCCTCGGGTTCTTTGGTCTGTATTTAGAGTGAATAGGTGACGAATTGGAGACAGCTGACTCGTCAACGCCTGGAAGGTGACAATTAAGTCGCCTCTCAGGCGCCTTTGAGTCAAACTGGTCAAATTCATAAGTGACAGCCGTTCGGAATATTGAGGACGTGTTCTACCAAACGGGACTCTTGTTGCTCTTCGTTGTACAGATTCCAGCAGAAGTAAGTCTCGTTGTAGAATGGGGGTCCAGACAGCGTTAGCAAACTCAAGGATGGGCCTCACGAAACTTTTATAAAGTTTAACAAACGTGGAGTAACTGGGTTTGCAGAAAGCCTTGCTTAAAAGATACAGCACAGAATTAGCTTTTTTAACAACACGTATGATGTGTTGCGACCAAGAGAGGTCTGAACTGATGGTTACCCCCAGGTCCTGACAATAATCCTTTTTCTCCAATTGCACGCCACCAATGCTGTACGTGAACTTGGGATTGTGTTTTCCAATATACAGGACGTTGCATTTTTTAATATTAAGAGGCAGAAGCCAGTCATGAGACCATTTAAGAATAGCGGCAAGGTCCTGTATCAAAAGCGAATTGTTGGTGCTGGTATTGTAAAGTTTGACATCGTCTGCATACATGGCAAAGGGGGATGTTAAAATGTTCTTTAGATCGGCGGTGTAGGCCAAAAAAAGTAATGGTCCCAACGTTGACCCTTGTGGTACTCCACTCTGCATCTTAACTGGTCTGCTGAAAGAATCACCCACTTTTACAGAAAATGTACGCTCTCTGATGAAAGACTCGATCCACTTGATGAGATTTCCACTTATACCTAGACACTGCAGTTTGTACAACAAACGACGTTTGGGGACCTTGTCAAACGCCTTGGAAAAGTCTAAAAAGATGACGTCGACAGAGTTGCCACGATCAACCTCTCTAGTCCAAACCGATAAACAGGTGAGAAGGTTCGATTGGATCGACTTTCCGGGGAGAAAGCCATGTTGCTCGTTCGGAATTAAGTGGTGATCTATTAAGTATTTAATCAGCTGGTCATATATTATCGATTCCATGATCTTACTGACCACGGAAGTAAGACTAATAGGTCGGTAGTTACTTGCGTCAAGTTTATCCCCTTTCTTAAAAATTGGGCGGACGGTGGCAATTTTCCAATCAGTAGGCAGAGTACCGGAAACACAGTACTTCGCTGAGAGTATCAGCGCATTCATGCAAAGTTTTGGCGGTTATGAGGTCGGGGCCAGGAGATTTGGATACCTTTAATTGCTTTAATTTTTTGTGGACGACGTCTGTTGTGAACGAAATGTCGCTAAAAGAAATAGGTTTGCATATATTATTCAGCTTTGGTAAGCAACCTGAGGGTTCTATCGTGAACACGTTAGAGAAGGCGTCAGCGAAAGTATCCGCTATTATTTTATTATTATCCAGTACCTCCCCGAATGTATTTTTGAGCCGCGGAGTGGAAACAGGACCGGTAAACTTTGTTCGTATGTACTTGTACAATTTTTTAGCGTCTTTAGCTTCGGCTACGTTTTTTTCGTAGACACACCTAGCTTCTTTGATGGCTGTCGACAGTCTATTAGAAAACTCTCTGTGAATTCTGTAGTCTAATTCAGAGCCGGATCTTTTATATGTACGCCACAGGGCTCGTTTTCTATTTATTTGTTGAAGAAGCCTGCCATTAATCCATGGTTTAGTTGACGAGTGTTTCACGAAATAGGATTTAGTGTGACGGTGAAGGAGACTCTGTAGAGTGTTTTTAAAGGTGCTCCAGTTCTTGACAATAGATTCATCAGAAAGTAGCGCTTCCCAGTTTGTTTTAGCTAGGTCATTGTTTACTGCCCGGTAGTCTGTTACTGTCCTCGTAAACGAGACAGTCCTTCGTGGAGGAGACTGGCAGATTTGTAGATCTATTTTTAGGGTTGAGTGGTCTGAAATACCAATAGGAGCTAGATAGTCAAGATTTGTCAGGGAATGGTCGTCGGAGCAAACAATCAGATCAAGAGTGGAGGGGTTTTGGTTAAGTCTATGCCTCGTGGGTTGAGTTACTAACTGACGTAGATGACTATGAGTCAGAAGGTCGACAAAAAGTTGCGAGGAGGGTTTGTAACTGCACCTAGGATCAATAGGCCAAGTTATATCTGGCATGTTAAAGTCACCGAAAAGAAGTAGTGTTGCATAGCTGTCTGCTAAATGGGATAGAGATTCTACTAGAATTTTATCATTGTCCACGACCGAGGAGGGAGGTCTGTAGATACACCCTAGCAGAAGGGTAGTGTCTTTATTTGATAATTTGAGAAATAGTGACTCAGTACCAGGTGTCTTTGTGGGGATATTGCTGACATGAAAGGTTGAAAGCACTTCGTCAGCTAAGTATATACAAACACCCCCTCCTTTACTGCCTATTCGGTCTCTGCGAAAGAGCGTATAACCGTTTAATGAAACCATCCCGTCAGGTATAGAAGAAGTCAACCAAGTTTCGGCTAATAAGATTATGTCAGGCTTGTCTTGTTGGACTAAGGCACAGAGATCATTGTATTTTGCCATAAGCGAGGCGACATTAGAATAAACTATTTTACAAACGTAAAAGTTGTTGGGTTGCATTGCAAAATCTTTATTAAAAAGTGAGATCTACAGGTTCATTTAGTAACCGGTTAAGATTTACAGTACCGGTCTTAGTCGCGTTAATGGCTTTCCTTATTTTCCGCTGTACTTTTATGCATCTGTTTTTTATGCTTTTGTGATCCAAAACAGTGTATATTTCATACAATTGATTGACAATACCTTCTGCGTCATCAGTGTACTTATATATTAGGGGTAAAATATCCTTTTCGCCATGCGCTTTCCCCATAAACTCGACCGTTTGGTTGAAGTCAAGGGGAAAAATATCGTGTTTCTCGGTGATTAGTTCTCTTGCAGGTAATAAAAGGTCAGACATAGGGGTCAAACTTTCAGTGGAATCACTTAAAAATGTGGAACGCTTCACGATTTTGCGTGTCATCCTTGCGCAGGATGACACGCACAGGATTTTTAAACAAATTTTTCAAAAATGAAACTTTCTATACCCCCTATTTCATCAAATTTGGGCCCATTTTCCACCATTTTCGAAACTTCATTATATACATTTTCTAAGGGATGCCGGGCCGTAGAATTCACTTCCTCCGTCACTTCTTCGATAGCTGCAACCGTTTTTCCATAATTGTCCATCGAATTAAGACAATTTTTTGAAATTTCAAAAGAAAAAATTCTCACAGAATAATTCAAAAATTCTCTTCCGTCACCAGAAGAATGAAAACTTTTTGGAATCAACACGTCTAGATCTACATTTTCGAATTTTCTCAGAATTTTTGGACAAATTTTCAAAAATGAAATTTTTCCAATACCCCCTTCTTCAAATTTCGACCCAATTTCCACCATTTTCGAAACTAAAATACAAAATTCTCTTCCGTCACCATTAAGACGCTTTACTTTTGGAGTCAGTAAGTCAAGATCTATTCTTTCTGAATAGTTTTAGAATTTTCAGGCAACTTTTCCAAAAATGAAATTTTCCCTATTTCTTTCAAAGGTCGGCCCATTACCATTTTCGTAGAATTCACTTCCGGTCTTATTTCTTCGATAACTGCAACCGTTTTTCCAGAATTGGCCATCAAAACATTGCAGTTTTTTCAAATTTCAAAAAAGATCCTATTTCACACAGACTAATTCAAAAATTCTTTTCCGTCACCATTGACACGCTATATTTTTGGAGTCAGGACGTCGAAATCTGCATTCTTGGATTTTACTAGAATATTCAGACAAATTTTTCAAAAGTTAAATATTTCCAATATCCGCCTACCCTCTTCTTGAAATTTCGGCCCATTTTTGACCATTTTCGAAAATTCAACAAATACCTTTTCTTTTCTTAGGGGTTCCTTCTTCAAATTTTGGCCAATTTTTGACATTTTCGAAACTTAACTAAGCACATTTTCTTGTATATTTTGAACTCTAGAATTCACTTCCGGCCTCGTTTCTTGATAACTGCAACCGTTTTTTCGGAATCGACCGTTGAAATATCGCGATTTTTAGAAATCTTCAAAAATTCGCAATTCCTACTGATTCTTTGGAAAATGTGTACTCCGAGACCGCCAATATTTTTGGAATCAGCTTGTTAAGATCTGTTTCCCTAAATTTTTTCGCAATTTTTCGAATACTTTTTTTAAAAGTGAAATTTTTCCAAGGGTCCCCACTTCTTCAAATTTCGGCCAATTTTTGACATTTTCGAAACTTAACTAAGCACATTTTCCTGTATATTTTGAACTCTAGCATTCACTTCCGGCCTCATTTCTTCGATAACTGCAACCGTTTTTCCCGAATTGGCTAGCAAAATACGGCAGTTTTTAGAAATTTGAAAAAAAATCCTATTTCGCACAGAATAATTCAAAAATTCTTTTCCGTCACCATAGACACGCTATATTTTTGGAGTCAGGACGTCGAAATCTGCATTTCACATTCAATTTTACTAGAACATTCAGACAAATTTTTCAAAAGTTAAATATTTCCAATATCCGCCTACCCTCTTCTTGAAATTTCGGCCCATTTTTGACCATTTTCGAAAATTCAACAAATACTTTTTCTTTTCTTATGGGTTCCTTCTTCAAATTTCGGCCAATTTTTGAAATTTTCGAAACTTAACTAAGCACATTTTCTTGTATATTTTGAATTCTAGAATTCACTTCCGGCCTCGTTTCTTTGATAACTGCAACCGTTTTTCCGGAATCGACCGTTGAAATTTCGAGATTTTTAGAAACCTTCAAAAATTCGCATTTCCTACTGATTCTTTCGAAAATGTTGCCCCGAGACCATCAACACACTATATTTTCGGAATCAGCTTGTCGAGATCTCACGTCCTTGAATTTTTTCGCAATTTTTTGACGACTTTTTTTAAAAGCGAAATTTTTCCAAGGGTCTCCCCTTCTTCAAATTTCGGGAAATTTTTGACACTTTCGAAACTTAACGAAGTACTTTTTCTTGTATATTTTGAAATCTAGAATTCACTTCCGGCCTCGTTTTTTGATAGCTGCAACCGTTTTTCCGGATTCGACCGTTGAAATAGTGCGATTTATAGAAATCTTCAAAAATTCGCAATTCCTACTGATTCTTTCGAAAATGTGTACTCCCAGACCGTCAACACACTATATTTTTGGAATCAGTTTGTCGAGATCTACGTCCCTGAATTTTTTCGCAATTTTTTGACGACTTTTTTTAAAAGTGAAATTTTTCCAAGGGCCCCCCCTTCTTCAAATTTCGGCCAATTTTTGACATTTTCGAAACTTAACTAAGCACAGTTTCTTGTGTATTTTGAACTCTAGAATTCACTTCCAGCCTCGTTTCTTTGATAACTGCAATCGTTTTTCCGGAATCGACCGCTGAAATTTCGCGATTTTTAGAAATCTTCAAAAATTCGCGCACTTTCTACTGATTCTTTCGAAAATGTGTAATCCGAGACCGTCAACACACTATATGTTTGGAATCAGCTTGTCAAGATCAACGTCCCTGAATTTTTCGCAATTTTTTGACGACTTTTTTTTAAAGTAAAATTTTTCCAAGGGTCCCCCCTTCTTCAAATTTCGGCCAATTTTTGACATTTTCGAAACTCAACTAAGTTCGTTTTCTGGTATATTTTGAACTCTAGAATTCACTTCCGGCCTCGTTTCTTTGATAACTGCAACTGTTTTTCCGGAATCGACCGTTGAAATATCGCGATTTTTAGAAATCTTCAAAAATTCGCACTTCCTACTGATTCTTTCGAAAATGTTGCTCCGAGACCGTCAACACACTATATTTTTGGAGTCGGCTTGTCGAGATCGACGTCCCTGAATTTTTTCGAAATTTTTAACTAGTTTTTTTAAAAGTGAAATTTTTTCAAGGGTCCCCTCTTCTTCAAATTTCGGCCAACTTTTGACATTTTCGAATCTTAACTAAGTACGTTTTCTTGTATATTTTGAACTCTGGAATTCACTTCCGGCCTCGTTTTTTGATAACTGCAACCGTGTTTCGTTTTTCCGGAATCGTCCTTTGAAATTTAGCGATTTTTAGAAATCTCCAAAAACTCGCATTTCTCACTGATTCTTTCGAAAATGTGTACTCCGAAACCATCAACACACTATATGTTTGGAATCAGCTTGTCGAGATCTACGTCCCTGAATTTTTTCGCAATTTTTTGATGACTTTTTTTAAAAATGAAATTTTTCCAAGGGTCTCCTGTTCTTCAAATTTCGGCCAATTTTTGACATTTTCGAAACTCAACTAAGTACGTTGCCTGGTATATTTTGAACTCTAGAATTCATTTCCGGCCTCGTTTCTTTGATAACTGCAACCGTTTTTCCGGAAACGAACGTTGAAATGTTGCGATTTTTAGAAATCTTCAAAAATTCGCACTTCCTACTGATTCTTTCGAAAATGTGTACTCCGAGAACGTCAAAACACTATATTTTTGGAATCAGCTTGTCGAGATCTACGTACTTGAATTTTTTCGCAATTTTTTGACTACTTTTTTTAAAAGTGATATTTTTCCAAGGGTCTCTCCTTTTTCAAATTTCGGACAATATTTGACATTTTCGAAACTTAACTAAGCACATTTTCTTGTATATTTTGAACTCTAGATTTCACTTCCGGCCTCATTTCTTCGATAACTCCACCCGTTTTTCCCGAATTTCCCATCGAAATATGTGGAATTTTAAAAATTTCATAAATATTGCCCCCAGACCATAAATACGCTATATTCTTGGATTCAGCGCGTCGAGATCAAAAGTCCTGAATTTTTTAAGAATTTTCAGAAAAATTTTTCAAAAATGTAATTTTTCCAATACTCCCCCTTTATTCAAATTTCAGCCCATTATCGATCGTTACCGAAACTTCACCAAATAGGCTTCCCTTGGGGCGTCAAGCCTTATTTTTTTAATAACTCCATCCGTTTTTTCAGAATTCTCCATCGAAATATGGAAATTTTTAAAAATTTCAAAAACATCTAATTTCACACCAATTAATTCAAAAATATTGCTCCGAGGTCATGAATGCACTATATTGTAGGAATCAGCACGTCGAGACCCATTTTCCCGATTTTTTTTTTGAATTTTCAAAAAAAAATTTCAAAAATAAAATCTCTCCAATTCTCCCCCATTTCTTCAAATTTCGTTTCATTTTCGACCATTTTCTAAACTTCATTAAGCACATTCTCTTCCATAACTGCAACCGTTTTTCCAGAATTGGCCATCAAAGCATTGCAGTTTTTAGAAAAAAATTCAAAAAAGATTCTATTTCACACAGAATAAGTCAAAAATTCTTTTCCGTCACCATAGACACGCTACATTTTTGGAGTCAGGACGTCGAAATCTGCATTCCTGAATTTTACTAAAATTTTCAGACAAATTTTTCAAAAGTCAAGTCTTTCCAATATCCCCTCCCCTCCTTTTCTTGAAATTTAGGCCCATTTTTGACCAATTTCATTCAAAGTGTTTAATTTGACGTAAATTCCTGTTTATTCACAGAGCCGAGCTCCAATGTCGCGCGCGAGAAGCCGGTCAAATTTTTTCCAGCTTCGGCTGTGAAAGTGTGTCGCTAAAGTCAATAATAACAATAATAATAATAATAATTTTTGTGGGATGTTAATTTACGAGTGCGGGATGTTAAGTTCCAAGTGCGCGTTGTTAAGTTTCGAGAGTGCGGTGATAAGTCCCGAGTGCGCGATTAAAACACGTAGTGAAAAATAGTGCTGCTAGAACTTTGATCTTGAGGTGCGTCAAGGAATGGTAACTCAACTCCAGCCGGACAGACGATAACGCATTTGGTCTGGATTTAAAGGGTAAATATATTATTTAGAATTAAATAAAAACATAATTATAGCTTTGAATTAGGCAAAACATTAACTTTTGCTAAATGACATTTTTCTTTTTTTACAGTAAGTCCGTATCTTTGAATAATAATAGCAGAAGTAGAAGCCTAAAAGGTAGGATTTTTTTTCTTGATTTAATGTCATTTTTGCGAGATATTAATTTTTCAAAAATTAAAATTTTGCAATACTCCTTTCTTCAAATATCGCCCGATTTTCGACTATTTTCGAAACTCCTTTGAAATATCGCACGTTTTAGAAGTTTCAAAAAGTACGACAACGAATTTTTCGCAAATATTGATTCGTCATTAT